AATAAAAAAATTGTTATCAAACATATTTAAATTGTCATATGAACTTATAAATTATAAGCTCGAAATTATGACTTATTAAACAAAGCCTTAATATTATTGATTGATTCAATCCTATTAATGATTAAGACTTAAATATTTTAAATTTACCAATGAGATCTTACTTAAATTTTTTTTTCTCTATTAGTCTATCACAATCATTTATATGCATAACTATAAAAGTATTCATAATAAAAGTCAAATATTTTTAAAGGATTAATAATAGTATAAGAGTATAAAAATATCTTTAACATGATAATTTATACCAATTAAATTTATATTAAGTATTATCGTGTTCACATTTACCATAAACATATATTTAGCATAAATATATAGATTGAAAAATTATAAAATAAAACTGATTAATTAGTAATAAATTAGATATATACTCCCTCTATTCTTAATTATAAATAAACTTTAATATTTTAGATTCATAATGTAATTAATGTATCTAATTTATATATAGTTTAAGTATATCATTTATTCAATGAATTTAAGAAGTTAAAATTTGCTTATAAAAGAGAATGCTTGAAGTATATGTTACTTTACTTTAAAAAAATATACAATACAAAATATATTACCTAAATCATTACCAACTTTTATTTTAAACCAAAATTGAGAAAATTTGTTGATGTGTGCTATTCGCAAGTATACGGAGTACGTCAGAGTAATATAAAAGATTATCGATCCCACAAAGACCAATGTCAATCTATCGATTACTATTGTTACAATGTTTATCTAAAACTAATGAAAACAGAGAGCAATACGCACAGAGAAAATAAAAATTAAGGAATAAATTCAAATTCAGAATAAATGCATACTGAGAAGGTGAGAAAAACACTTAGAAGGGGGGGGGGGGGGTTGAATAAGGGTTTTGAAATAATTATGGCAATAAAAACAACACAGTATTTTTATCCTGGTTCGTTGAACTCAACTAATCCAGTTCACCCTACCAAGGTGATTTGTCTTTCTCAACAAGGACTTAATCCACTATATTCAAACAGATTACAGTGTCACCCACACTACAAGAAAATTAGAGTTTTACGACACAAAAGTTGCGACAGTTACTTGATAACTGTCGTAACTCTAATATGGAGACGCGTTTCATGACAGTATACACCTACCGTCCTTATATTTTTAAAAGATTATTAAATATTGCGACTGTTATCATTAAGCCGTCCTACAAATAAGTTCATGACTGTCTCAAGTGCCGCCCTAAATTTTATGTCCCGACGGTAGAACAACTGTCGCCCCTTAAACCCAGTAACACAAACTATAACCAATAGCGGATCTAAATAAGTCTATGTATTTTAAATAAATAAATGACTAAAATCATTTATAAAATATAATTATAGTAATAAATTAAACTTAAAATACATAAAAATGAAAATATTATATATACTCAAAATAAACTTTAATTTTAAAAACAATTTTTATAGTAAAAATTAAATTCAAAATATTATATCCAAAATTAAAATATTAAAATTAAACTATATATCAAAATTTTAGAAACAATTTTTATAATAAAAATTAAATATAAAATTAAATTATATATACTCATAATCATAATATTATAAAATACTAGATAAACAAAATAATTCAGTCAAAATAGAGAAATAAAAAAAAATATTAAAATAAAACGACTGGAGCTACCGTCGTTAGTTCAATCTTGTGACGGTAATATCAACCGTCGTGCTCCAAAGTTTCGTCTTCCCGCAAAAACTCAGCCACGTATTTTTCACTTAAGAATTTGCCGCTCACGTTCTTGGAGAAAGAGGGAAGGGAAAACTGACATTTTTCTCAACCTGAAGCTGTCATTGCGAATCACCGAATCACCCTCAAAACAACCACCATCAATTCAAATCTTTACAGGTTTGTCTTCTCAAACCCTGAATCGGATTCTGGTTTGGATTTTACTCTGAATTTTGTATTTAATTGGTTTTGATTAAGCATTATGTGTTAGATTTCTCTGCTTGAGAGTTAAATTTGTGTAAAAAAAATGGATTATTTATCTGTGTGGACGTGTCGGATCGAGTTTCTTGATGTTGAAGGGTTGCAGTAGCAAATTCTGGTATATGACCTTTATTTGAAATCTTGTGTGCTGTTAATTCAATGGTTTTGTCCTGAGTTGATGTCAGGTTCGATTTTGTTTTCGGTGATCATGTCTAGCTGAGGCGGTTGCTTTCTCTATTGTGCTTGTTGTTTGATTGAGTCATTTGCTTGTTTAGGAGTTTAAACTATATTTTTGATACATTGTTTATAATTCAGAACAGGCTTCATAATTTCATAATATACTTGCGATTTAAATTGAAATATCGGGTTGTGTTATTTTAGACTAGATCTTCTATAGAATTTTTTTGAGAAAGATATAATTTTTCGTAGTAGCCAAATTAGTGTTGAGATAGAAAAATGGTAAAGTGAGAATCACTGAATTCAACTACTGCTTCGGTGAGGATTTCTAGTTCATCGATAGAACCAACAGTATCAAAGAAATCATCTATAACTATGATTATAATTGCAGTTTTAGCTATAAGCATTCGAACGTAAGAGTCGTGAGGGAGGGATGTTAAACTTGCAGCAACAGCAAAGTAACAATAAGTGCTTTTTTCTCTGCCGAATCCCATATTACTCAAACCACACTTTTCAACCCACCTACATATCAAAATCAAATGTAATCATCCACTAAGATTCGTATGAATAAGATTCAGATCAAACTAATTATTGGAAATTTTAGTATACCTCTTAAGTTCATTAAGTTATCAGCTTGTTTCCCATATTTATCAGCTTATTAAATCAGCTTGTTTAAATCAGCATCCATATTTGTTTAGTTGATTTATGTCCTGCAGTAGAATATAATCAGGTTGCATGATTATTTCTGCCGGACCTCCTTGATTAGTAGCAATCTAAATGCTTCATACAAAGCAGGTTGCACAAAAGCTCCCTTTGTATCAGCAATGCAGCGATACAGCTCTCCGTTGCGAAATCGATCAGTCTGCGCAGCAATCCATCTGAACTGGCCCTTTAGTTGATACTTTTGAATTAAATCATGCATCTTCTTTATTTCTGCCATTTCCTCTCTTAACATCAAATCATTAACACCTCACATAGTATTGACTTTGGCCGAAAAGGAAAACCATAAGGATGTTGACAAACTAAAAAATTTGACTTTGGCCGATGTTGACAAACTAAAAAATTTGATTTTACACAACGCTATAGTATTGACTTTGGCCGAAAAGGAAAACCATAAGGATGAGGTCATCCCTAAAAATGTTCAGCAGTTCTGGATCTCTTGTCTTGCCAATGATAAGTTGCTCTACATCCTAACTATGTTGAAGTTGGAGTTAGTCCAAAAGAAAGTTTTGATATTCACTATTGTACATCCTTGCTATGTTGAAGTTGGAGTTAGTCCAAAAGAAAGTCTTGGTTATACGACATCTCATACGACTCCTAAGTATTAGTACCACTCCTCCAACCAACATGATTCTTTTCAGTAAGATTATTTTAAATTGTATGATTCTTTCCATGTGCCTATTAAATCTTAATGGTAAGATTTAGGACATTTACTAACCGTCTGAATTAGTCATCCCACCTTGAGAAAAAATGTTCTATGGGATATTATCATTTCCCTTCTTCATGACTCCATGACATGACTATTCCCATTAAATCATACTGAGGACATGAAAAAGATATTAAACTCTAGAACATCTTGAATATCTTGTCAAGTTGATAAAGCTGAAAAGGATTTGGTGTAGCTTTGACTTATGCACCTTGACATAGTAGCTTCAAGGTCAACAGCTCAACAAAAATGCACCCCATGACCCACTTATCAATATTACTTACAATTTTTGCTCAAAGAAGCAACTGAGGCGCACTGCTGTTCTTGATCTTGCTATGCATATTTGTTTAGTTGATTTATGTCCTGCAGTAGAATACAATCAGTAGTGCAGATTTGAATCCCTTAGAACGTGACTAAATGTTGCAGTTTGGATCCCTTAGAGCAGGATTGAAATATCTATTTTATATGTAAGTTTAGCAAGTTTACAGCAGCTAATTAACAGTAATTGCATGAGTTAACCACTAACTTTTGAGTCAGCTATAAAAGATTTCAAGCACTTGAGAAAGAAATAGAGATAGTAATAAACATTTTGCTAAAATGAATGAGCATCGATAGATAGATAGTAACAACAAAAGACAGAAACTCCATTCTGGAAACCAGTAGAAGTACATACCATATCGCTCCACATTGCTTGCGTAGTATTTTAACAAAATGATTATATATTCAAATGGGAAGACAGCATGTCATGACCTTACTTGAACAGGATCTGTTCTATAGGCTCGTACTAATGCTGTTCTTGATCTTGCTATGCATATTTGTTTAGTTGATTTATGTCCTGCAGTAGAATACAATAAGTAGTGCAGATTTGAATCCCTTAGAACCTAACTAAATGTTGCAGTTTGGATCCCTTAGAGCAGGATTGAAATATCTATTTTATATGTAAGTTTAGCAAGTTTACAAAAGCTAATTAACAGTAATTGCATGAGTTAACCACTAACTTTTGAGTCAGCTATAAAAGATTTCAAGAACTTGAGAAAGAAATAGAGATAGTAACAAACATTATGCTAAAATGAATGAGCATCGATAGATAGATAGTAACAACAAAAGACAGAAAATCCATTCTGGAAACCAGAATTTGGGAATTATTCTTCATGGTTTCCTCCCGGCAATTCGTATTCTGCAATTACTGATAGATTATGTTACAAACATCCCTCATGGCAATAGGATGATGGCTCTTCAAAGCAATTTATTTAAGAAATCAGCTTCAGAGCATGTATTGAACCTTCACCAGAGTCTTTCGAATGCCAAACATCCCCGATAGATTCAGTTACAAACATCCCTGTTTCAGCTTCTTGAGCTGCAACTTTTTCCTTAAAGCTTGTTTCAGATCTGAAAGAAAGAATGCTTTCTATGAAAATAACCACAAGAGGAATGTTGACCAAGCAGTAAGTGTTATGGCCGCAGCACTATAAGTACATAACAGAATAACTGAACACTCTTCATTTCCTACATCAAACAATTGCGCCAGAGTACCTGCATAACATATTTCATTAAATTTTAAGTTAGAATTTAGGACCAATAATATTATTATATATGCATGAATGAATCTAATTACTTACTAATATTCGTTGCTGGTGGCATTGCATATTGCATAACTAGAGTGTACTGAAACAAAGGATCCACAGGGAGAAGGCCGAAATTCGCCGCGGCTTTAACAATAAACAATCCAATAAGAGGTAGCACGAAAAGTCGAGTTATGATGATGTTGATGAGGTAGCACCAAATGCACATTAATATGAAAATAACCACAAGAGGAATGTTGACCAAGCAGTAAGTGTTATGGCCGCAGCACTATAAGTCCATAACAGAATAACTGAACACTCTTCATTTCCTACATCAAACAATTGACCTTATCTTGACAATTAACCATCAGAAAGAGGGCATATCCTTCCTTTATCTCCACATGAATTCAACATAACTTGCAAGGGATTAAAACCATAATGAGCATAGAAAAGGCCTTTATAATCCAAATCTTAAAGGATCATGGCTTGAAATCAAATGATTATCTAAAGAGAAAAAATCATGAATCCACAGAAAGAATGAGAGAGTATGACAAATTTGTGGTATGACAGCGGCAACCAAGAGAAAGTTGTGAATTCTGTTGGGGACTCGGTATTTAACAGTCAGACTGGGATTAACCGGAAAAAGGATTAACTTTACTGGGGAAGAAGAAAATTTGGCTTTAACCAAAGAACGAAAGACTATCCAAAGAAAGAGGTGATCACAACTCTTCTGGGAAATCAAAGAATATTGATTGGCCAAAAGAGAAAGGAGTGTTAAATTGAAAGGAGGAAAGTAATCCAAGAGACAAAGATTAGGGTGCAAGGAAAAGGTGATTGATCGAAAGAAGGATTGAAAGAAAAGTAAGATCAAAGATCAAACTCAAGAAACACCATAATTCAAATATAGAGGTGACTATTCTGAATTCAGGGTCATGCGCCCCTGACCAGAAATAGCCAGAATAAGGATAGGGTATACTTCATCCTCACTCCTTCTCTAGAACCCAAAGTATAATGCGGAATATGAAACCGACAAAGAAACGATGCAAGTTGTGCAGTGCTCCAATGTATTATGCATACGTTCGACTTTATGGGGGATCAAGAGAACAAGACTCTAAAAGATCTAAACGAAAAGAAAGAGGGAATATCAACTAATCGAAACAAGATTTCGATCAATTAATCAAAGGGGAATGAATAAGCCAATAATCTTTCAAACGAGTCAAAAGATCGTCAAAGCAAACATGCGGATTATTGATTATACAAAATTAAGTTCATCCAATGAAGAACAAACTTAATGCAATCAAGAAGAAATGAAATGGCGGCAACAAACATTAATTAGCATGCAATACTAATCATGTTATCATGTGAACAAAATATGCAAGAGTGATCATGATCACACAAGTGTCAAAAAATGCAAATATTCGAGAATCGAAAAATCATGCATTGAAAGTTTGCATACATGCTTCAAACAGAAGTTAAACAGCTCATAAAACATCCCTAAATATCAAGCATATCAAGCCATGGAACTTAAATGAGGAAAGAATAGCAAACAAGTTTGAAAAAGTACAAAAATGGCATTCTGTCAAAATGTTAATTGGTTAACCATATATGGTTAATCGGTTAACCTTTGAAAAAGTTCAAAAAAACATGGAAAATGATTGGTTAGTCGGTTAAACATATATGGTTAACCGATTAACACTGGGACAGTGGCAGAAAAAACAGTTTTCAAAAGCACTTCCAGCAATTAATCACTTATGCAATCACTCACATGCTAGGGAAAACATTTTTGCATGAAAATCAAGTTCAAAAGCACCAATTAATCATCAAATGAAATTAATTAACACATCAAGAACAAGAATCAAACAATTGCAAAATCAATTCGCACACACAAAAATTATCGGATCTACATCACGAACAATACGAAAGTGATCAAAAATAGTAAATTGAGTGATAAATTCCAAACTACAAGGTGGAGGATTGCCTTGATGATTGTTGCTATTGATATGTGATGAGATGATCAAAGAAAACTAGAGAAATCTGAATTTGCAACCGAACGGTATTGAAACCGAGCAAAATGCGACGAAATCTCCAAATACAAATTTGCTCTGAAGAAACTAAAATTTTAATCATTTAATTTGAAGAAAAAGCTAATAAAACTCCAGAAAACCAAGTAGAATTGCAAGATAATGGAGGTTAAGCTCAAGAGAAAAGCATTTTCAGTGTGAAAGTTGCCACTCTTTAATGGTGAATTTGAGCTCTAATGTGGTTTGGGAAGAAGATGAAGATGAATGTGAAGAAGTTGTAGAAAATGAAAAGGGAATTGAGAGAAGTGAGAGAGTGAATAGTGAAAATTGAGAGAGAATTGTGAAAATGGTTGAAGGTCCTCGTGAAATGGTGAAGATTTGTTTATATAGAGTAGAGGTTTGGAGTTACTAGGTTTGGAATGTGCTTTGGAGTTTGCTTTGGAACTAGCCTTGGAGTTAGTTGCACTTGACTCACTGAGTTGGAAGTTGACTCAGTTAGGTAGTTAATCCGGTAAAAATCCTAATGCAAGTCCAAATCAAAGGGTTCACATGCTTGCAAATGAAGTTACATGATGGTCTTGATTGGAAATGATGTATTAGAATAAATATAAGTGAACTCTTGAAATTTCTAGAAGTTTCTAGAGATATCTAGAATGTGTCAAACAATGCTAGAACAAAATAGACCAAAAGAGAGTAGAAACAGTTGCTGTCTGTCGCAACTGCGAAAAACACCCGGCGGAAAACAGAAGAGTCGCCACCATTCATTATTTATCCCAAAGAGAGGGAAAGGAAACGATTGGAAAAACCTAACGAAAAAGGGAAAAGACGAGGTTACTCGCCAAGACATCGTGTCTTGTGCCTACGTACTTTCATCTGGTATGAAAGATCAGAGCAAACGTAGTTCGGGCTAAAAAGACAAAATATTGGTTCAAAAGTTTTTAGGCCCGAGCAGGGTTAACAAGTAGTTCTAGCAGTTGGTGTATGCAGCTTGATCATTGGAGACTTACGCGTTACCGTTTGCGGTAGAACTAAGAGTTAACAACACTCTTTTATCTGAAAAGATTTTCCTAATTAAGAACCCCAAAGGGTGAAAACTATTTGAAGTGTTTTTGTGTTTTTTAGAGAAGAAGTGTTTTGAATTTGATTTGTAGTTCATGTTGTACTAGAGACTATGACTTAGGAGCAAATGCGTCGCATATCGTCCAAAGGACATATACTAACATTCTAGGCAATTGAGAGGCAACCACCCAATCATCATTTCCCAAGTAGCTTAAGGCTCATAGCGTACAACATTCATTATCCTTTATTATGTGTTTTGAAAATGTTTGAACAGGAGGAAAGAAAGGACACATTAATGGGAGACTAACTCAATCCCAAAAGTTGTCATGCAAAGTGGACTTAGAGTTGGGATACAAAAGGGAACTACCTAATGTTATCATGCATGGTTTGATCCTAATGTCTATCATAACCTCTCTTGAAAAAGAGAGATTAGAGATCCTAAGGGAAGAAAGACAAAAGAAGAAGAAGAAGAAGAAGAAGAAGAAGAAGAAGAAGAAGAAAGAACATGAAAATGCAATTATGCAAACATAGAATGCACAAATAGGATGAAAGTGAGGGAGGAAATATGTGTGTGGAAGTAGCCTCCACAAGCTCATCTCAACCTCAAGCATGCATATGGGAATGCAAAAGAAGAAGAGAGAAAGAAGTGCACAAGGTGAAATCAAACAACAAGAAGAAATCACACAAAAATGCACCAAAAGTGTGATGAAATGACCTAAGCCAAACAACATCAACCACAAGTGCCACAAATCAAATTCAAGGAAAGCCTAAAACAATGTGAGGATGGGAGGCTATATGAGGACAGCAAGGAACTCATAATATGCACTCAACCATAAGCATCACAAACAAAGTGCAAAAGAAAGAACAAAGAAGTCCTTAAGGATTCATCATTTTAGGTATACTTCAAGTACCTCCTCAGGAGGGACTAAGACACCTTAAATGAGACTCCAAGGTCATGGAACAGAAGAGGGGATGAGAGAAAAAAGTTCAAAAGCAAAGGCCATCAAACCAAAATAAAATGCAAGCATTACATCAAGGAATGCAAACATGCCACATATGGAAACCCTAAATGGAAACTCAAAAAGAAACACAAGTTTGAATGAGCAAAACACAATATCATGACCTAAAATTGAGCAACCAGCAACCTTAACATGTTAGAAACATGAATCAAAAGGGATTGAAGGCTCAAAGGATCCATCAAAGTTATATCCAAGACAAACTAGATTAATGTGTATATATGAACCTCCCTTTGGGGTAACTTGACTTGCAAGTTACCTCAAAATTAAGAAAATGATTCAAAAAGGGCCAAATAAAATGTCACAAGCTCATAAACATGTTGGAAAACAGAGGCCAAGAAAACATAACCAAAGTCATCTCAAATCATCATCAAAGAAATTGATTCACATGGATGCACCAATTTGAGAGAGGGTTATCGAGGGTCAACAAAAGCAAGGTCAAAGTCAAACCAAAAGTCAACCAAACAGGGGAAAAATGGTCCTCAAAAATCAATCAACTCATAATGGATATGAGGATTGATTTTCAGTCATTGGATCAAAAGGAAAATGCAAAAACCAAACAAGAACAAAAACATGTCAAGAATTAGGTCAAATAAAACACTTCCAATTGATTAATTCTTTTTTAAATGAAAAATAATTCAAAAAAATAAAATAAAAATTTCATAAAATAAAAGACATCTGAAACTATCCAGAAAATATTTTTTGTGAATTCTATCAATGTCGGAAGTATTTTAAAATGATTTAATTCTAAACAGCAACAAACAAAATAAAATAAAAAAAAAATAAAGAAATAAAAGGTATGAATAGCAAAACATTCACGTGTAAACTCAATCGGCTTCACAAAAGGGGGTTCAGATAGCAATGACAGGCCCAGTCCACAAGCGTTTAATGAAATGCCACGTTTTGATGGAGATCCAGTGAGGTGAGTCAAGTGAGGTACACGGTGCATCATGTTCTAGGATGTTAGATCCAAAGGTCATCAAATCCAAGGGCTCAGGACAAAACATGTGGTCTGGCAAAGGTTTAAAAATGGAAAACGGAGGGAGAAACCAGGTGGCCGGAGCACGGTGGCTCCGGTCATCTTCTCCGGTGACTACAAGCAACTGGTAAAACTCAACTTCACCAAATCAAAC